AACTTTACATATAATTTTTTTTCCAGCTCGGGTAAGGAAAAGAAATTGGAATTCTGTATACCGATAGCGTAAAACATGTAAAAAAAAAATAAATAAATAAAAAACCATTTTGAGCACGATATCGGGCGATTTCATACGTTATCCCCCCCCCCCAAAAAAAAATCAGATATCAAAGTCACTTTTCAGTTTTCGTGGTAACAGGAGCTGAGGGCATCAAAGGCGTTTGGGATATTGATAGGGATGGTTTTATAAGATATATAAAAATCGCTGGAAATATCAAAACTGTTTTTTTTTTTTTTTTTTTTTTTTTGGAGGGGGGGGTGGCAAAGAGAGGGTGAGGTAGGAAATTTGCATTGGAAATATTAAGAAATGGAAATTGTATATCAGGGTGCTGGGTGAGTGTTTTTTATACAATATATTAAAAGCGTTACAGATATTAAATATACTTTTCACTCTTATAATGCGGGGCTGGAGATATGTAAACCTTTGATATCAAAATCGTATATCGGAATTAGGAATCGAGGATTTTTTTGTATATCATATTATAGACGTTAGAAATATTATAATTATGTTTAACTTTTTTTCGGAATAAGTCATTCTTTCTGTATGCGTATGTGTAAAGTTTATCAGTAACGCAGAAAATATTAGTTTTTTTTCAGGATATGGTACGCGATGTTTTTAACCAGTATTTTAACAACTTTCGGAAATATGAAAGTCGCTTTTCAGCTGGGAATATTATAAAAGCATTCGGATTATATTGCATATGTTAACTTTACCGGAGTATACAAATAACATAAAACAAATCCATTAATACTTCGTGGCAGGTAATAATTGCATATGATATATCACATACCTAAGAGATATAACAATGCTATCTCTTTTTTCTTTTCTTTTTTTTTCTTTTTTCATGTCAAAAACGTCATGAATATCAAAAAGAGAGTCTGTTGCCGTAGCGAAAGGGGACAGGAGGGCTCCAAAATATATCAACAACATTAACATTAACAAATATTTTCAACTTTTCACTGCGTGTGGATCGGGTAGGAGGGCGAGGGGTGGGGGTGGGGGGGGTTCTAGATACATCATCTGTAGTATCTTAATAACGTTGGTAAAACATATCAATATTGTATTTTAGCGCGAGGGATGTGGAGGCTTTGTGTAGCGTATTAATAACTCTATAGAGATATTAAAGTTGTTTTCAACTTTTTTTTTCGGGAGGCGCGGACCTGGGGATCAAAAAAAAAAAAAAAAAAAAAGCGTTAGATATTAAAACTGTAATTCAGGAAGTGGGATTTGAGGTTTTGATAACTTTATTAATAGTGTTAAGAGATATTGAAATTGCATTCCCTTTTAGTGATCATGAGCGGAATGATGGAAGAGAGAGGGGATAGGAGGAAGGAAGGGAAGGAAGGAAGGAAATAGGGGAAGGGGTGGGAGGGATGGAGGGATGGAAGGAGGGAGGGAGGGAAGAAAAAGGAAAATGAAGTTTCGAAGTAGGAAAGGAGGGAGGAAGAGAAGAATAGAAGGGGAGAGGGCAGGGGAATTAGGGATAATAGGAGAGAGAGAAAGACATGGGTGGAGGGAAGGAGAGCAGGAGAGAGGAGATAGGAAGGAAAGAAGGAAGGGAGGGAAATAAAAAAAGAAAGATGGGATAAGAGAAAGGAGAAAGAAAGGAGAGGAGGGATGTTGGGAGAGGGTAAGAGAGATAGATAGATAGATGGAGAGAGAGAGAGGGGGAAAGGGAAGGAGAGATCGACATAGACAGATAGAGAGAGAGGGAAGAGGAAAGAGGAGGAGTGAGAGAGAGAGAGGAAAGGGAAGAGAGAGGGAGAAGAAGAAGAGAAAGAAAGAAAATGTGTAATATGCAACAATAAATGCATTTCAAATTATCTAAATATCTTTTTTTAACATTTTTATATTTTTAGTTAACAGAAGAATCGATATCTAAGGTTTTATGAGTAACCAAATAAACGCATGAAATAATATAAAAATAATTTCCGTACTAGATATATTAATAACGATTAACAGCGAACAATTATTCGATATAAACAAACAGAAACCCTTCCTCTTTCGTTAATAATTTTCAATAAGAGATTCAGTGGGTTTTAATCATGATAAAAACTAGGGAATTGAGAGAGAAATAAATGTTGATTTGCAAGTGATAGAAATTGAGTATTGAGAGGAATTAGTCAGCCAGAGGGCATGACGCAGAAGTAAATGTAACAGATAAATTCTCATGAGGGAAGGTAATGCATATAAATGGCTCTGTGCTAGTGTGTGTGTGTGTGTGGGGGGGGGGTGCGCTCGGAGGCTAGCACGCACACACGTTAATATAAGTTCACGTACGCACATGCACACACATACGCATAGATACACAGCACACACACA